TCGTCTCCAGTTAGATAGCAGAAAGCAAGAAAGCCGAATGGTAAGACAAGTTCCTAGATATATGTGTCAGATCGTGCAGGGGTATAGTTAAACAAGAAAGCTGATACGCTCACAAGAGAACACTCTACATCAAATCCTTCATGACTTTTCTAGTAGAATATTGATCTCCTTTGCACTAGTGAAGAGATAATTACACCTATGGTAGACAAGTCAAATGTCGTAGCTAGGAAAAGAAAAGAAAGGGAACCAGTAGGACAGTATACAGCCAGAACACCACTCGCAATTCTCAACACGACCTCTGAATTTCCTTCTCTATCATTAATTATTCTCAGACTGATGGCCTTAATTAAATGCTGTTGTATGTCACCACAGTTTCAATTGTGGCAAACTTCTGTGAAGGACAGTAATGCCATTATTAGACCATATAACTTTATACTTTCTGCCGATCCTCCAATGTATGAAGAATTGGTTTCAAAGACCATGTTTAAGCAAAGCAAGGGTACAGAAGTCCAGAAAAACTGCACTGTTGGACTTGACGGGTATGTAGTTGAATGAATTTGCTATTTTTCCACTTTCTTTGACACCTTTCTTGGAAACAGACATTGGTTTTAAATTGTGACAAGAAGGTTATGAAGTTTTGTCTTTTGAGTCTCCCACAACTAAAATCCTTGACTAGCATAAATGCACTAGAAGATATGCGTAGTCTCATTGTAACGGCTTTTTAGGTTAGAGGGGACTTTTTTCTAACCATAATCTTTACTCTGGAGCTTACTCTACGCTGGCTTCGGTTGTGGTTTCAGATCTCATTACTGTCCTAAATGCTCTACCATGGAAGTTGTCCCACTTTCATAGAGAATATTGAAGCGTATCATTATCAAAAATATTATTGTTTGGCTCTACATCGTATAACAATCTCGCTATACAAATATCATTCCTTGAAAAAAGCTGTGCCATATTTATCCAGCCATAACACTGTCCTTGTGACGTTGCGTTGTTGCGTGAGGGGTAAATAGCAGTGAATCAAATATAGATGTATATGTCTTAATTAAATACATTGTGTTGCATCTGCGGCGACATGCCACTTCATAGCGTATGCAAGTCGTTCTTATGAAGAGTGTTTAATCCTTTACATTATTAAACATAAGATAATGTAGTTGTAAATATATGTGGATTTATCTGGGATACTTAACTTTACACAAACATACGTTATATATATTATTTCCGATTCTGGTAACTACAAATACTACAAACATATATATCATTGTGTTAAGAAGGCGTGGTACGCTATATAAGTATGACTACTAATGTCCGAGACTGTTTTTAAACATTACTTAAACTTAACAAAAAATATTGCGCAATGTCAAATAAAAACTTGATATATATAAATTTGTAGTTTCTTAATGAATAATAAATCATTTTATCATGTTTTACAGTATTACAGGTTTACCATACCCTTTGTTGCACCCTGGCGACAATGCCCTATAAGAAAGATCTATAATCCGTAGTGATTTTAATTAAAGTTATTGTTTGGTTGAAAAATAAAGAGGAACGAGGTAGAGTATAAAAAACTTTTTCGTAATAGAAAACGCTCAACATTATACATAAACATACATTGTTTTGTGCTCAACATTATACATAAACATACATTGTTTTGTGCTCAACATTATACATAAAGATACATTGTTTTGTGCTTGACGGAAAGCATACTTTTTGTATACTTAGACTATAATTAAGGGTTAAGTTCAACAAAGACGTGTTTATTTCCTTCCTGATTAAAGTTTAGGTAAAACTCTCTGTGCTTCTGTAGCATCACTAAGCCTAAGGTCAGTTACTATTCATTCAAATTAAAAACTGGCTCCCCAGTGGGAAAGCGGTAAGTTTACGGGCTTACAACGCAAAAAAAATCGGGGTTCCATTCCCCGCGGTGGACACAGCAGATAGCCCGCTGGGACTTTGCTCTAAAAACAAACAAACTAATAACTGTTACCTTTTATCGCGCGTACAGTAAGAAACAATAGACTTCCATTTTGTTGCTTTAACCAGTCATATGGCAGCATTCCAAACAGTTCTCTGTATAATTCTATACGTGCTGAAGCAACGAAGGAACAGCTGAAAAGTCTCTATAGTTTTCTAACTGAGATATAAAACTGATTACAATTGTTACAAATATAATGTGTGTGTTTGATTGTTGTAAGCACAAAGCTACACAATGGACTATCTGTGCACACCACGAATATCAAAACACGGTTTTTAGAACAACTGTTACAGTCTGCTTATTACAAGCTACACCACCCAAAACGTAAGAAAGGAAAAGAAATCACTTACCCTTATCAAGTGCTTAGAAACCTTACGAATAATTGCAGAAATGAGTGGATATACATATAATATATATATATATTGAAAAAATCCGTGTTCATTACAAATACAACATTCGTGTGTACAGGTAATATATATCTCATAAATTTGCAATCCAGATAAATCTGAGTTATATGAAGATATTCGCAACTTGAGATAAAATAAACTTGAAGAATATTTTTATCCTCCAGACGAAACAAACGAATTATGTGTGTGTGGGAAACATATCATCTTGGTATTTACTGGTTTTGTAATTTTTTGAACAAGCACTAGGTCTTATGTGGCCATCATAACTGCTTTTATTTTGCTTTAGATACTGAAAACGGAATCTGTTGAATTCCGAAACGTTTATCTGTGTCCCCTTCTGATATAAATATACAATGTTGTTTATCTTAAGTATCGTTATCCTTTTTATTATGAAACTTCGTTTTTCTCCGAACACATCAATTGCTAATGTTCAGATGAATGTTGTTTCTAAGTCTATTCTTGTTTTGTGTTGATTTTTAGGTGTTGTCTAAAATAGGATACTTTCATTTCTATATCATATATCGTTTTATTTTGTTGGTTTTATAAATCAGAAACAGGAGCGTGTTGCTGAATTTCATTATCAAGGGAGCAGACAGACACAGTTTCATTAACACCAGGAAAAATTCATAACACAGACTCAACTCTTATCCACTTCTAAATACGAGTGCAGAGACATAATTAACATCGTTATAAATACTGAATATTTCTGGATACCAGGAAAAAAAATGTATTTGAATCAATGAACTTCAGAAATGCACTGTGAAATTTATAAAGCTTTGCATTGTTGTTTTTTCCCCTAAGAGATAACATTTCCCTTGTCGAAGAAAGTATATTTCATAGCTGAGTTTTTCATTCTCTATCACTAAATTCACACGTTTCAACTTGATCAAAATTCATAATGCGTTATCACAGTTATCACTGGTGGCGTATGCATCTGAATTTTCAAGAGCTACCTGTACTTCAGACTCACGAAGTCTATGTAGAAGGCTAACTACTTTCTTGAATTTGTCTAATGCCTTTTGTGCTTTCCTTTTTTTCTAAGATTAACATTTCCTGGTGTTATTCACTTAGATCTACGGCATTATGTCTATATGTACAGGATAAAGTCATGTGACTATTGTATCCTGAGTAGGATAAAGTGTTTTGAAAAAAAAAAACTTTTTTTTTTATAATCCTGGGTATTCTCCGACATTCACTGTTTTACTTCTGTGGCTGTATATCGCTGTTTAGCCACAATAAACTTGCAAGATTACCCTGTCTATCTTCCCAGAAAAATCAAAACAGTGAATGTCAGAGAGGCCCCAAGATTTATCTCAAAATAAGTTTGGAGTACTGGATGCCTGTAAAGTGTGTGTGCATGTACATATATATAAAGATGAACAACTTAAATAACTGAGAACAGTAGGTGTGAAAATGACACATAAGTTATTTTTAGTACTACTTCGTATAATCATAAACAACCTGTTTCAGTGGCTTTAAAACTACGTAGAAAAACCAAAACATTATCTCAAAATTATCATCTAAAAAAAAAGTTCCTCATTAGGAATAAACACTGCCATCGTTGTGAAAGGCTTCCCTGCAACGCGAACACAGATATCCTATAGTAATTCATGTCGTGAAATGGTTTGTATTTGTTGTCTGCAAATTCCTCCCACAGTTTTGGAGCTAGCGAGACCAAACTCGACAGGTGGTCTCGGAGTGACCCAAGGGTGTTTTTATCTATATGGTGTAGTTGGACGACCAAGAGGGGTAAAAACATTCCGGTAAGTTAGTCAGTCATGATAGGAGTCTAAGAGTAGGTTTGCAAGGTCTATGAACTACGATCTTACATTGGATTTTGTTTCTTGGTCTCTGGATCCGAGGCCGTCTGTTTTTGAAACGTTTTCATAACCCCGCTGATAAGTTAACGGGTTCTAACTTGCCACACGCGCTCAGATACCACGGGTGGGTGTCTTAGCGTAATTTTTTTTTTTTTGGTGTACAACATTCTTTGATATAACTATAGAAGAAATTGAAGATAATGGAGGTGATTTATTGGTACATTGAGGAGTCTGTGAATCATGAGTGAGCCTTTGAGCATCATGTCGAAGCGCGGATATTTTATGCTAGTTGAATACATTTTCAAACTTATTTCTAAATTACATTAATAATTAAACCTGAAAGAAGACAGCTTGTGATTATTTAAAGTTAAAACTCATAAGAAGCTAAAGCTTAATAAGTGAAATAAAAAAATAGTTATTTCGTTAATTATACTTATAAAAAGAAAATATTCACAGTGCGTTATCAGTCTTAGGACACTGCGTTCATATGAAAATAATTTTCTGAATGCTCAAGGGCAGTTTTACCTGTACATTGCACAGGTAGGTTTCGTTTGTGGGCAATTTGTATTTTCTTTATGTAATTACAAGACACGACCAAACGATATTGATTATTACATGCGGGGAAGATATTACAAAAGTAATTTCGATTAAGTTAAAAAAACAACATATTTGTACAATTTCACAGTTACCTCTGACATTTAAAAGGAAGGTTCTTGTTAAATATATTAAACTCAACAAAAAGGTTGCGTCGCCTTCAATTTTTGATAATTAAAAATTATTGTGTAAAGAAGAAAAAAATTTATTTTTTGCTTGTATCCAGTGGTTAAATTGGAAACCTGTTTTGTGATACCCTTGGTAGTATGTATACAGTATTGAACAAAGGTATTAGGCATCCCTAACTATTTCATTGGATTGACATTTTTCTATTACTGTATGACGGCAAACGCAAATATATCGTGTGTAGCTGTAACTTTTCTGTTTTCGGGTGTTCACTGATTGCTGTTGGTACTTTTTCTTTCAATCAGAAGACCAGGACTGCTAATAGTCTGAATAGAAAGGAAGCGAAAAGCCGTTTCGGACCAATTTAATGTTTGTCTGTCTGAAAGTGAGCTCCACAGAAGTGGTCAGTTTTGGATGGCTACCAGTTTTCTCGCTGAATGACCTGGATTCATTGCTGTCTCCTCTCCAATTCTTTTGGTATTCTGTAAAAAAAAAAAAAAATCTAAAAGCTGTCGATTGTTAACTTGCACTCGAAGGTGCATCAAGATTTAACCACAATTTAATTGTTTGTGTAACGTAAGTAAACTTAGACCTTATCACAAAAAAATGAAAACAATAAGGTCCATTTTATATCAACGAACCATGCGATCCAATATGGCGGAACCCAACAATTGTTTGGAGCGTTTCGAATCGATGAAATTGGCCTATAAGTTATTATATGTATGTATTAACGAAAAATTTAAATATGAATTAGGGTTAACGTAATAGCATGTGGTTAGCTCAATAATATTTTCTTTGTACATCAATATATTTGAAGAAATAATGAATAACTCTAAGCTGGAAGGAGTTATTGTTTGTTTGTAGCTAAGCAATGGGCTATCTGTTCTCTACCCACCACGGGTATCGAAACTCGGTTTCTAGTGGTATAACTGCGCAGACATACCGCTGTGTCACTGAGGAGCAGGAGTTATTATTACTGAAGACCTAAATGATTTATTACTGTTGTTACTTGCAGGTGAATAGATCTGATTTCTGTAAGTGTGTTATGAGGAAGATTAATTATGCAAAAAGTGTTTTATGGAAAAAGAGTATTATTGCGAATATGGATTAGACAAAATTTGTGATGTTTATAAATGAAGTTAAGTTATCTAAAAGACAAAAAAGTTGTATCATCAGGATCCAGGGGAAAGTTGTATCATCAGGGTACTGGGGTAAATTCATCCCAACTTATAAATAGTTAGGTGTGAAGAGAATTTGAAAATTGGTGATGAATCAAATGTGTAGAAATTTAGCTGAGCAATAAAAACTCCAGTGAAAAATAAGAATATGAGTTCAAACAAAAGCTTCATCTTTCTGACAGAAAAAGTTTTCCAATATTAAAGAATGAAGCAGAAATCCCATTGTAGGAACGCATACAATTTGTCGTGTAATTTGGACAAAAGTCACGGAATAAAGCTGTATTAAGTGATATGAAAAATCTTCATTTCATACAAAATATATGATAAGACAATTAAGTGATTAGATAAAGATATATGGCAATGTCATATATTAAAAAACTTGACGTGATCGAAGTAAAATCAAGGGAATGAAGTTCAATATATATTTGAAAGTATGTTTTTGAGTTTTGTGAGGATACAACAGAACTTAAAAAATTAAAACAAAATACTATTTCCAAGAATATTACGTCAGGTCTCATATCGAAGGGTCCAGAGTTCGAGACAGGATGTTGCTAATAGCGTACACTTTCAGCCGTAGACGCATCATAAAGGTGCCAGCCAATCCTGGTGAGTAATCCGAAATTGGGAAACGCTATTCCTGATTTTTATGGTTCTCTGACCTGGCCGTTTAGCCCAAGGGCACATACGATGCCGTTCAGGTTAAAAATTCCAGTAACCGGCGCCAGAATAACTTTTAGAGTTTGGCTGGGTCCAAAATCATGACCTCTGGTGAGTCAGCGGTAAACTTGAGAGTTCGTAACGGTAAAATTAGGCGTTCGATTCCTGCGGTAGGCACAGCACAAATAGCCCATTTTGTAGCTTCGCGCTTAACAACAAACAAAGGTCATATCACAAGCTTGTATTCAACATGGAAGTAATTTATATTACAGAAAAAACAAGCCCACAATTTGAAAATAAATAAATTGTTTTTTTTTTAATTAATGCAAAGCTACTGTTTGTTCATTATTAAGCACAAATATACACAATGGGCTGTGCTCTTCACACTGCAGGTATCGAAACCTTCTTTTGAACGTTATAAGCCCACAAACTTCCCGTTAATCCAGAGGGAGGCTAATGAAGAGATGTTCTAATTATTATTTAATAACGACGTATCCAGCCACCATTCCAGTGATTTAAGAATTTGTTAACTTTCATTTCCTTGCATTGCTCTTACCACTACATGTGTAATATATTTACCTAATATTTATTTTCGTTCAAATATAACTTTCTTTTTTCTGTAAAAGACAGAATATTTCCAGGGTCAGACAAAACTAAATACTGTGCCCAATTAGACAACATTATATTCAGTTTTCTTACAATCAAGGCGATAAACAAACAGACGGAAATTATAACTTCAGTAGATAGCAAACAGTGTGTATTTTCTGAGATGAAAAAAAGAACGACCTATCGAGAGTGATATCATTCGACGCAGCCTTTTTACATATGAGTTTATCAGCCTTATGCTTCAGCGAGCCCAATTTTTGTGTTTCTTACATACTTTTCATATCATCATTATGATCAGCTTCTGGTCTCTCAAGGTTTTTGTAAAACTACACTAATGATCTTCCCGAAAAAAATTTACAAAAAACATAAATTCTGAAGTTCATATTATTATGATTAAAATAACAATAAAACATCAAAAGTTCTAAGTTCGATTAACAATAACCTTCTGTAGGAGAGAATTACGAAACGCTTCTCCAAAAAACTGTAACATATTTCATGAAAGTATGAGTTTTACTCCTTTTATTTCATTATTTAAAATTTACTAGCAGTAATCTGTTGAATTAACATTATAAATGTTCATATTTTTAAATATTTTAACGTCTTTTAATCATCAAAAAAGGCTTAGACGATGAGATGATAATGAAAAACCGCAGCAAATGGAACAATCTGTCAGAAGTTTTGATATTTCAGAAACTAGTTTCGACACATTTGTGGTCATCTTCAGTATCATGTTGCCAGAACACTTTTTCATTAACTTCTTTTATTATACACGATATTGTTTTATATTATTACGATGTTCTGAATTTACTTCACATTCTTTGTATAGTAGTAAACTGAGTTTAAGGAGACCCAGAGTCACTTTTGTGTCCGAACTGCGCCGAGCCAGGGATATCAACAAGTAAAACGCCCTCTACTATCTGCTTTTAAAGTGGAATAGAAAGAAAAAAAGCTGATTTCCATTAATTTGGAATACACAATGCTGGATAAAACATGACTATTTAGTGTCAAGTGCATATAACGCAGTAATACTAAACTGATTTCAAAAATAGATATGAAGATAAGTAACATTTTACAAACGAATATTGTTCAAATGCTTAAGTTTCTGTATGCTATAACCATGGTAACTCAAATGGTATGTAAGAAAAATGTAAAGAAGTATTTAACTTCCGGAAAGAACAATACCAGAAGTTCTTCATCTAACAAGTTCATGAAATAAGTCACTACTAATAAAACCTCTTGACCTGTTGAAATAAAAAAATATCTTTCAGATTAGCATAATGACCTACAAGAGAAAGCACCTTTGTTCTTGATTAAAAGAGACGTATTTTTTCAGTTGTATCATTTTCTATTCTGCAGTTGTGACATTCTTTTGTTGTCCATTTCACCAGAGATACGGAGAGACAAAAGTCCAGAATCGAAAACATTGGAAGAGCTTGATAATAAACTCGTGTGTTCACAGTTCCTGTTGCGATATACGTTGGGCAATAGTGTTGTAACCTAAACAAACATGAAACGTTTGAAGTTAGTTAAATTTGCAAGAGATAAATTTGTAGGCAGAATTCGAATTCCTTCTAATCTACACGAGCTTGCTCAAACTCGTTGTGAAATATCGTTTATTTGCAACTGATGATGCTTCGATGCCCATGATGCGACATTCCCACGGAATCAAAACACCTGTTGGACTGTATGAAGATAACTCCGCACACCGAATTTCGTATGTCATTGTATTTTTGTAATTGTCTCTTTGATGTCTATATAAAAACAACATTAACATCTCGAAATAATTATTCAATATATTTCTGCCACAACATCAATGAAGATGTATCTGATCACTCTTATAGCTGGCATTCTCTTCGCAACTCAGGCTGTTAGGTAAATTACTTTGATTTTTTGCTTAATTTGTTCACACATACCTTAGTTAGAGTAATTATATGTAGTTTTAAAAATTAAACTCTGTTCTGAAGTAATATCTTCAACAATTCTTTAACGGGGATGAAGTAGAAATTCTAGTTTTGAAGTTCTAGTCCTGGTAAGAGCAAACGTATTTTTTAAACAAAAGTTTTGTTTAGATGCATTATTAAGATTGCAAGGCACACTAAACTTGCCATCTAACGATGATCTAAAAAACTAAAACTAGTTGCCTAGTGCAAGAACATAGTTCTGGTTTGAACACCATATTTTAACTAAATTACATATTTAGGCCTCCGTAATTTAGTGGGCACATCTCAGTGAAAATATAAAATATGCTTGATTTTTTATAGAATGTTGTACGATCTCGTGTGGGTAGAATTCAAATTTATTCGTACCTGAATAAGGGAAAATAAACAATAAATAGTTAATAACTTGCAAGTATGTCAGCAATCGTCGCCCAGGAATACCAACGAATAATGGGATTGACCGTCACATTATAACGCCCCCACAGCTGAAAGGGTGAACATGTTTGGTGGGACGGGGATTCGAAATCGCGACCCTCAGATTGTGAGCAGTAGAGCGCCCTAACCACCTGGTCATGCCGGGCCTTTGTTTAGGACAAAATTAAAGAAAAAAAATTTTTTTTTTCAGGTCAAAGGAAATCGTTCATGAGAATGAACTTCCGACAAGAGCTGATGCACCGCCATACCTGGTAAGGAGTAAAAATGAAAATTTCATGTTGGAAGATATCATTAGATAAAAAAAGATACACATTTAAAGTTCAACTTCAGCTATCACAGAACGTAACTGATCTGGACAAAGTTTTATCTGACGTTGAAGAAACTCTTTTTTTTTTTTCGTCATCTAAGATTGTTTGTTTTTGAATTTCGCGCAAAGCTACACGAGGATTATCTGCGCTAGCCGTCCCTAATTTAGCAGTGTAAGACTAGAGGGAAGGCAGCTAGTCATCACCATCCACCGCCAACTCTTGGGCTACTCTTTTACCAACGAATAGTGGGATTGACCGTAACATTATAACACCCCCACGGCTGAAAGGGCGAGCATGTTTGGTGCGACAGGGATTCGAACCCGCGACCCTCTGATTGCGAGTCGAGTGCCTTAACCACTTGGCTATGCCGGGCCGTCATCTAAGATACACCTAATAAGCCGAACGCTTCATTGTATATCAATATTGTAAGTAAAGAAGGCAATAGGAACAAGGCTTGCTTATGTACTTAAGTTATTTAATACGATAATCAGTAAAATCAGAATAACTGGTACACAGTTTTGACCAGATTCTTACCGACTTCTTCTCGAAAAGCACATTATTCTTTCTACTATTATTTGCTTTGCAGCGGAAAACTACGCAATGGGCTACCTGCTCTGTGCCCACCGCGGATTGCGAACCACGAATTTTAGCGTTAAAAGCCTTTAAGCGTACTGCCGAATCACCGGGAGGCAAAGTATAGATGGAGAAAGATAACTAACAAGTGTTTTAAGTATGTAATAAGTTATTTGAAAGTTGTTGTTTTTTCCTGAAAATATATTTTGTATAAAAATTACAAAGTATCCGATGGCTTAGGGGCGGGTCCGAGGTCTGATAACGCTGAAAATCGAGTTTCGATAACCGCGGTGAGAAATGTACAGATAATCCATTGTATAGCTTTTTGCTTAACAACAACAACAAAAGTATAAAATAATATGTAGTTTTCTGATTTGTGGTAAAAAGTACATAAGAATGTTGCGAATTAAAAAAGAACAACACTGAAACATATTTTACTTGATTAGACTTTTCAAGAAGTAAAAAAGAAGCAACATCAAACTCAAGTCGAGTTTTTACTTTTCCAACATTCAAATTCCAGAATTTTCAATGTCACAGGAAATAAAACGTATTTTGGCCTTAACCATGAAAAGCCAGGAAAAACAATGAAATTTTGTTCTTACTCAAATTTCAGGAGAGTTGTGCCTCTGAAAAGTTTATTTACAGTGATTTGAAACTGTGAAAGTGTCATTTTATTTATTCTAAACTTGAAAATCAACTTTCCTACTCAATACCAGCCTCTGAAGAAAAAGGTAATGATAATAATACACTCATGAAAATGCAATAAAAAAGAACAACATTTTCTAGAACAAAGACTTTGGTAATTATTTGTGCTCCTCCCCTAATGATTAGAATCCAATCAATTTGAACCAAAACATATGAAATGATATGTTTGCTTTAAATTACGCGCAAAGCTACACGAGGGTTATCTGCGCTAGCCGTCCCTTATTTAGCAGTATGAAGGAAGCTAGTCATCACCACCCATCGCCAACTCTTGGGCTACTCTTCTACTAATGAATAGTGGGATTTTCCGCCACATTATAACGCCCCACGGCTGATAGGGCGAGCATGGTTGGTGTGACGGGGATTCGAACCCGCGATATGATGTGACTTAACTGATATTTAACTCTTTCTGAAAAAAGTCCTCTTTTTTAATTTTTTTTCTGGGGGACAGGTATAGATAAAACCTTCCTATTATGCTAAAAACGGGGTGTCGATAGTTGTAGTGGGCACAGCACAGATAGCCCATTAAGTAGCTTTTTGCTTAACAACACACAAACAAACAAAAACTATTACATTATTCGTTTGTATTTCTTTCACATTTTTTCTACAGATTGGTTAACAGGTTTAAAGATAAATGGATCTAATTTTTATAAAACTTATATTAATATTTATAAAAATAAAAGTTTTTGTTTTTATTTTTCTTAACTCCAGGAACAAGTCACGTGCAAGGACAACCCTTGTAAAAATAAAGGATTCTGTAAAGACACACCAGAGGAGGTGTTGCAAACACGAAGATTCTACCAGTGTTTGTGTCAGCGTAGTACATGCGGACAACACTGTGATATTGGTATGTTGTATTTTCGCTACCTCTTTTATTCTCTTTCATTCTTATTCTCTTTCTATGTTTCAATGTGCCATACCTTATCAGAATATATATATATATATACTGACCATTTTCATTTTTTATATTTTAGCCAAGCAATACCAATGAATGAATAAAAATTAAGACTTAATTTTGTTTGTTTTAGAACAAAGCCACATTGGGTTAGCTGTTGTGTCCACTGCGGGTTTACAACACATAACAGCCTATTTATAGCATAGTTTCGTCATCATATACTTTTCGAGGAGTGTTATAAGCGAAAAATATTTCATTTTATATTTGTCTGTTACAAGTATAGTTCCTGACCGGTCCACGTTAAATTTTCGAACCTGCAAAGCTAAAATCTGGGGTTCGATTCCCTGCGGTGGACAGAGCGTAGATAAACTGTTGTGTAACAAGGCGCTAAAAACACAACAACAACAAAAAATGTTATAATATAAAAAATAAATAAAATAGCCAGAAGAGGAAATATAAGAGCTTATCACTTGCAGTCAGGTAAGAATTCAATACGAACAGCCATAAGAGTAATGCAAGAACTAATTTTTAAGAAGCAATGAAGTAAGAACTCACTATTCTCACCGTGTTATAACAGGAGAACTAAGTTATACTTTGTTTAATTATAACATTTCTAAACATTTTTAAACCAGGAGTGCCATGTTTTGTGTATGATTGTCTTGTATTAATTTCATAGCAATTGTTGAGTTCAAACAAGCTATCAAAGGTCTTAGAGATCGGTTCTTCCTAATCAACGTCTGTGACTTGTCTATAGCAGGTTTTGGAATGTCATTCATATCTCTATTTACTATTATTTCCAATAATCTACAGTAAACAGTTATTGCTTGTTACCATAGAAAACTACAGTAGTTTGCTGGGTAGGTAGGGTTCTCGCCAATTCGGAAAAGCATAAGTAATGCACAGAGACAGGAGACGCGATCTACTGAGCACGTTATTGCCGTTGGAAAAGTAGAACGCTGTAATGGTGAAGAGTTACACAGTACCAAAGTCGAGCAGCTGTAGATGAAATCAATCCAAATCAACAGCTCGCCAACACTGTTTATTGCCCCTCCGCCATCATCGTTCTTCACACTCCTCTTTTCTCGATTAGGAACCCTCTTCTGGAATCTAATTTAAAGTATCTGGTTAGCGTGTGAATGTTGTTCTTCCAATCTAGAGTTTATTTGCGTCGTCACCTTTATCAGAGATAAACCTTCTTTGATTTTGTGTTAGGCCTTACTTTTTCGGTTGCGTTCATCCCGTCATGATCACATCCACACCCGCTACACTGCTAACATTCCAAAAAATTTGCGATCTTGCACTTTTAGGCCAGCTTCTAAACTGACGCTTCGCCATTTTTACAGAGTTTGGAAAGACTGGTTTAAGCCTTTTTGAAGAAAAACAGTGTGTTTTCAATGAAATTATATTAGAACAACTTATAGCTAAAAGCCAATTTTCAGAGAAATATCGCTTTCATTTAACTTAAGAAAGCCACTGTATCTTTGTAAGTACTTCTCTCTTTCAAGGTTGCTCTTCACTGTTCGATTCATCATCAAATAACTTGTATTATAACAACATTGCAGGGAATACAACAAAGTCACGAAGTTAACTGGCTTATAATGGTTGAGCGAACGCGCTCTGGTTAAGTCAGAAGTCACTTGTTAAATATTTTCCTTGAAAATCACGAATAGAACTTTAAAAATAATAACACTGATACCCACAAAGGTGTTTAATGCAGGGCGGTATAAAGCTGTAGTGGTTTGATAATAAGCTCATTTTCGTATATATTGTTTGTCCTCTGTGAGTTACTGCAAATTTTTGTCTTTTTGTATCTTTGTGTTCCTTGAATGTAGGAGTTTTGTATCAAGATAACTACTTTATGTTTTATGAACAGATGTGGTCCGTGCATTCTGTTCACTTTCGTGATGTTATTTGTTCTTTATGAGTTGATACATATTTTATTTCTCTCACTTCAAGGAACATTTGAGCTTCATGCCAGCATTCAACTTAGTTGCAGTCCAGATGAAGGCATTATCGATACTTGGGATTCAAGTTCATATCTAGTAACAGGCTGTCGTAATCTGTGTTATAAATATGAGAATTGTAAGGGCATCAACATAAAACAATATTATGACGGCTCTGGATATTGCTCTATTCTGAAGTACGATTTGAACGAGGAAACATGTGCAATGGAACCAATGTCCGAAGTTGGAACTGAATACTGGTTTGAGAGACGTACGGAAAATTGTGCTAATTTACAAGAATAGATAAAAACTCTTAGCGTGTGAAAATGTTCCTTCCAAGTGATAGTCATAAATAAAATAATTACGTAATATTAATACATGTTATGAATTTTAAGAAGTAACGTCTATCTTGCCATAAATGCGGTTTGTTCGTCCCATTGTTTATCATAACTATTATTGTCATATACGACTTACTTAAATCTTCTGCGTTATTAATATTTCTCTTGAGTAAAATAAAAATATATGATTATTACCAATTACAATCTTTTAAAACTAGGCGGTTATTAAACAAGTTCATTTAAATGCTTAATTTTTAATATTCTTAACTCCATTTTGCTCGTTTAAGAATATACATTAGAAAAAATTGTATCCGATATTGCAACACCAGTTAAGTCCGCTATAACTGCCAAAATTCCAAACCAGGGAGTTTCGCCTGATCTCAAAATATGGAAGCTAATCCTAACCATTCAATTTATTAGTACACGTGACCGCCAAATCAAAACGCTCATTAATAAAGAAAGTAACCATATCAAAGCATTAATTAAACAGCAACAGAATAACGATTGGGATCATTTTTGCCAACCTATAAGTGAGCGTAAAACAAATCCTTCCACCTTATGGGAAACAATCAAATCTATATACAATACCTCTCAAACATAGAACAATAACACCAGTAAATATAATAATGTTACAGCTAATACAGACTTAAGTAAAGCTAATCTGTTTAAAAATTACCTTGCGGAATTATTCAAAACCCGACCTACCATCATTTGAAAATGAGCATTTCAACAGCGTAAATAATTTTATCTCTTCGAATTGTCATACATTCAAACCATGTTTCCCTGTGTCCTAAATACATACTCATAAACTTTGCCTTTTTCTCCCAGTGACATCACTCGACCCATTGCAGACGCGGAGGTGAAACCCCATAGCGAAACTCAACTCATTCGATGCACAGAGGTGAAAACCCCATATGATAACACTTAAAAACCGGCAAATGACACAATCACTACCCTTGTCCTAAAATATCTTTTATATAAATACATTTCGTATCCCACCGTCCTATATAACTTCTCATTTAAAGCAGGGTATTACCCTAAATGTTATTATTATTGTAATCCCCAAAACAACGACGGACTAACAAAACCCAAACACGTACGACCTATTAGTCTATTAAATTGTACGGGTCAACTGTTCGAGAAAATAATCACTAACAGGCAACTATATTACCTTGAAACTAACAATAATATCACTGACATATAAAACGCGGCACGCCGTAAACGCCAAACCGATTATCACAAAGTGAGACTCACGAAAATAATATTCAAGGGTTTTAAACCTAAAATCGATGTTATAAAAGCCTTCGATAGTGTCTTGCACAACGGCTTACTCTATAAACCATATCAATTTAATGTACCAGAAAGAATCACACGTTGGATAACAAGCTTTCTCTGTAACAGATGTACGAAGGTCAGATTAAAAAACTTTCTCTCACTCATTAGTAGTTATCCCGTATACAGCGCGGCACGCCGCCAGAGGCTGTTACATGTGTGTCGACCTAGGAGAGGAAATAATGATGTTACCAAAGAAGATGACATCATAGTTTCACAAGGTGTCACAAGATGGCGTGTTGCTAGTCCGCCGTGACTGACGATGACGTCATAGTTTCACAAAACGTCACCAGAGGGTGCACGAATTTGATCAACATGACTATATTTAACACAGTCGGTATAAAACACTAATTTTATGCATTTCCAGACCATTTATATTTGAAATGACCTAAAAATCATGTTCATTTAAATATTATGCAATAATTAAAACTTACTGTTTGACTCTTTAATTATAAATCAAGTGATTATTACAAAGATTATCGGAGATATGATTATAATAAAAATCTGAACACATAATTTCTTTTTTTCACAATTTATTAATTTTCTCACAATAAAGATTTTGCAACCTGACCTACATAAAAAGACATGTCTATTAAGGACGTATTTACATGAAAACGTTTTACAACAAAATCATGAACAAACATATCATTACTATCTATGTGGGATCCAAATTTAGATTGGAGTTTTCTTTTGGACACAAGTCTACAACGATAATAAGTAGAATTGTTTTCAAGTGTTTCAACATGTTATTACATCATCAATGTCCTAAGTAAAACTATAATTTAGGGATAAAACTATCATAACAGTGTTACACATGTCAGATTTTATCACACATTCGTTTCAATGAAACAAATAATTTACAATTATCTATCAGGAAATAATTTTATCATACCTAATATTTTTATTGAATGAATTAAAATACAGATTATAGTTTTCGTTTGTTAATCAAGTCTATAGTAAATCATTTTGCTACATAACAAATGTGATTAATCCCTACCATAGAATAACAACACTTACCTTTTATTCATAAATCTTTGAGGACTGGACTTTCTTGGACATATGTAGACATAAATACCAAGTACATTATATATACAATATTGTCCACACACAGACGAATGTGGTCCTTACAATACTTTTTTGTTGTTGTAAGTTTACGTTGGACAGCTCGTTTTGGTGATTTTCCTATGTTGAGATTATGTGGAGTCAGTCCTAATGGAACGAAATATTCTTCTTTCTCATCTCGACCAATGTAAATACAGACCCAGTGGCTACCAGATTTATGACTGGATCCAGAATGATGATGTATAATTTTTTTTCTGCATGATCAGATAGTTTATCACTGGCAAACACACCTCCAAACGTCTTTCACGTGCACAATTCTTGTGAAACTATCGAATAAATTTCTAAAGTGTTCATAGCTTCTTCCAGACAATGTTCCATAGAACACCTGCTGTTTTGCTTTCACAAGTCATGATACATACTATACAATATCTGAATGAGACTAATTCATTTTGCTACAACTAAATATAATAAATGAATCACATACAGTTTATCCATCTATTTTCCATTAAAATTTCATAAAACATTGAAACTGATGTCTAAATAACTAATATTTGTCCATTAAGAAATACAAAGCTCGTCACGTGGGAAGGGTAGACAGAGAAAAAGAAGTTATAGAAAAGAGAGAGAAAGGTCATTGATCAGCATATGACTAATGAGAAAAGGTCACTTCCGAGTTGGCCAAGTCTATTTCGCATAAAAGGAAAGTCAATTACAATATATTCTCACTATCTGTGTATTTACATTATACTTCATATTGAAAATAAACGGTTCAAACTCTACATAAGTGTAATGTTCATCATACTTTAACTAGAGTTTTTGTATGTCACTGAATTTAAAAGTGTTAACATAGTCCTTTCACTTTACATATAGTGGTAAAGAACACTAAATGTATATTTTCAATATCTGACATGACATTTTAGTTAGCATTTAGTTATTGCATATTTTCTACTCAATTCTGTATCCGATAAATGGTCAGAAATTCAGACTGTGACAGTAGGCTTAGAATAATTTTCAAAATGTTCTGATTAGTGTTTATAAGCTCGGGTACAAGTTCAGACATGTCCTAATTAGCTATTTTAATTAATTCTCATACTGCGAGTGGGGAGAAGAGAAATATATTTCTAAACACCCCCGGTTTCCTACGAGCTCCTAGCCCTTCTCAAGCTAGTGGCTTAGGGTTTAAACCGAAATACTTTCCAAGTCAAAAGTAAAGTAAACGACCTTGTTAACATTCTATCTGGCCTGGCATGGCCAGGTGGTTAAGGCGCCCAACTCAAAATCTGCGGGTCGCGGGTTCGAACCCCCATCACACCAAATATGCTCGCCCTTTCAGCCTCGGGGGCGTTATAAAGTGTCCGTTATTCCCACTATTCGTTGGTAAAAGAGTAGCCCAAGAGTTGGCGGTGGGTGTGATGACTAGCGTCCTTCCCTCTATTCTTA